ACCATACATGGAAACAGAGTTTTATGGGGCCCCCAGGAACTCGGGGCCCTAAGCAGCTGCCTAGTATTGCTGAATGGTGAATCCCCCCCCCCTGTGGTGGGTAGGTGGGTCCTTCCTACCGTCAAACTGGGCCAGCTCTCGCTCCTCCTGCAGCCTCTCGTCCGTCGCTCGGAGGCCCATCCTGAACTTCAGGTTAGTCTCTCTGCACCAGACATCAGCGTCCAACGAAGCGCAGAGGAAATCCGACCCAGACAGAAAAGAAACGTTAAAACTTCAGACCAGCGATTTAAACTTAAGACAGTTTTATTTGCATAGCTGTCCCTCTGGGATCAGGGTAATTCCTGGTATCTGCAGTAAACCTCCCCGCCAGGATCAGAGAGGACGTCTAAACTAAACACTGAGGGCCATAAAGCAAACAGCAGATATCAGGAGGCGTTTACCCGTCAAGCTCGGCCGTCTCCACGTAACACAGGCTGTTTGGGTTGGAGCTGGACAACAGCAGGATGTCAGCCTGAGGAAACAGGAAACGCCATCAAGTCAAAATTTTTCTTGCTTTTCCATCTCGTTAGACTGATTATTGGTCGTTTGACTAAAACCGTCCAGAAGGATAAAGGCTGGAGGTTTAGTGGAAACCAGTATTAAATCAAATATGATTTTCTATTTCAGAGGGTAACTTCTATTATCTCATTTCTAGGTCAGTTTTTCTACAACCATCATGAAACAGACAGAAAATGAAGGACTAAGATGCTAAAGTGTGGAAAGTTTTCGGATTGATTCGTCGTACCGGAATAAAGTCGTTCTTCTTGAGGCGAACCACGTCGCCCACCTGGATGTCCATCCACTTCTTCTCCTTAAACCTGAAGCAAACAGTTTAGCAGCGTTAGCAGCAGCGCTAGCTAGCTGAAGGACATCTACAGACATCTACAGACGCAGAGCTTGGTTCTGACCTTCCATCCAGTAGAACCTCAGACTTCCTGTTATTCACCTCCTTGTCCATCCTGTGTCGGGCCTGGAGCAGAAGAAAGAAACTGACCATCTAGCTGAGATTCCTGACAATTCTTTCCCTTTCAGCCAAAACGGCGTCCTACCAGATCGTCCACCAGGTCTTTGATGGCGGTGATTCCCAGCACGATGACCAGCGGAATCAGGGTGGTGTACCAGGGAAGGGTGGAAATTTCTGGAATGATCTGAGAACGAAGGAGAGCAGCCATGGTTACCATGGTAACCAGGGTCCGATTCAACAGAGCAGCTTCCTGTTGGTTGAACGTACCTGAAGGATCAGCAGAGCCAGGAAGTAGATGTTGGCCACCCTCTTAAACTGCTCGTAGAGGTTCAGGGGGAGGAAGGTGAAGAAGTTGTACTTGTAGGTTTTGATTGCGTTTCCCTGCAGGAGCAACGAAGGAGCGTTAGACCAACGTCCTCCAGTGGAGGAGGATAGCGGCACCTCCTCCTACAGCCAGGCTGCTTCAGTACAAACATCTGACGGGTCGGAGTTAGCATTGCAATCGGCGTCCTAAAGGTTAGCGTACATCCTTAAGGTTAGCATAGCAACCGGCGTCCTAAAGGTTAGCGTACGTCCTTAAGGTTAGCATAGCAACCGGCGTCCTAAAGGTTAGCGTACGTCCTTAAGGTTAGCATAGCAACCGGCGTCCTAAAGGTTAGCGTACGTCCTTAAGGTTAGCATAGCAATCGGCGTCTTAAAGGTTAGCGTACGTCCTTAAGGTTAGCATAGCAATCTGTGTCTTAAAGGTTAGCGTACGTCCTTAAGGTTAGCATAGCAATCGGCGTCTTAAAGGTTAGCGTACGTCCTTAAGGTTAGCATAGCAATCGGCGTCCTAAAAGTTAGGACTCATCATCCTGAACCAGTGAGCCATCATCAGGGAAGGATGACCTCCAATAACCCTGATCCACGGTTCTGATCTTATACGGTTCTCCAAACAGCCTGGATCCACAAATAAATGAAATTCTTCTCATCTAAAACCTCCAATAAAAATCTCTGACATCCATGGCTCTACGCGTCCTGATCTGATTCATAGAGCTACGGTCTCCATCTATCGCTCAGTAGGCCTTCTGAGCCGAGCCGTGGTTGGCCATTCCGTCATCTGATCGGTCCAAGTCCAACCAATGGATTCAGCCTCCCTGCTGCCGGAGCCTAAGCCACCATCCTCCAACTGGACCGGACCAAACCTGGAGCCGAAACCGCTTCAACAACTTTCTTCATTAAGTGACTTTAAAATTATTTAAATGTCATCTGAATTTGGTTGAACCTCAGAGAGGAACCATCTTGATCTCATGGTTTGTCTTTTGTTCTGTCGCTCCGTTCTAGTTGGAACAAAAACTTCTAAATCGGTCTCTTCCTGTGAAGTAAATCAAACTATTTTCAGTTGAATATCAATAATCTGAGGCTGATTGTTAGAAACCAGTGGGTTTCAGGCCCTTTAATAAAAGCAGAGTCCACCTGAAGCGGATCCGTCTGGTCCAAGTCTTAAGCCTCCTGCAGAGTCTAATGTGTCGGTCCGGGACCTAAAGGTCGACCCAACCGGACGGTCGGGTTTCAAAGCCCGTCTGCACTCGGCCCACGTGCTGCAACCCTGCCGTGTTCAGCGGCGGCTGACCCAGAACGCCTTGTTTGCTAATGAAGTGATGTCAGAGGTGCTGATAAAGGAGGCGGATGCTGCAGAGTTCTGCTGGTTCAGGGCAAATATGGCCGACTTACAGAGTATCTGCTCTTCTTTATGCAGAGGAAGACCTTCTTCTGAAACTCTGGCAGCTGGTGGTACGCTCTGTCGTTTGCCTTCACTTTCCAGCCGATTTCTGACAGACAGACAGACAGAAGGTTACAAAAACATCCAGGAAGCTTTTGTTTCCTAGAAACGGCCTGGCGCTGAACCCACCGGGGGGTCTGGGCTCCTCAGGGGGACGCGGGGCATCCCTCGGCTCCTCTGCCTCGCTTTCATCAGAGGTCTCGTCCAGTTCGTCGTCCGTCTCGTCGTCGCTGTACGGCATCACCTCATCGTTGGGCCCCGGGGAGCCATGCCAGTCGGCACGGCGCTGACTCATCTCGCCACCTCAGGAGTTTGCTGAAAGAAATGGAGATAGATTGATTGAGGAAACCTTCCAGGAGGAGGTCAGGTCTGTGGAGATCCTGCATGGATCAACTGATGGCAGAAAAATCTCTGATCAGTGAAAGAATGGAAAGAATTTAAGAGACTGAAGGAAAAGGAGCAGAACTGATCAGTTCACAGCCTTTCCACCGTTAACGGATGAAAACTGGCCGATTAGTTAACCTCTGATCAGGACTCTGCTTTCTATCCAGTAAAAATAAACTCCAACCAGAGATGGAGGCCACGCCCCCAACACACACTCAGGCCGTCACTGGGAGACCATCTTCAGCATCCATCTTTCTCAGGCCACATCTCTGAGGGCCCGACAGCACAGGGGGCCGACAGCACAGGGGCCCCGACAGCACAGAGGCCCCGACAGCACAGGGGCCCCGACAGGGCACCGACAGCACAGGGGCCCCGACAGGGCACCGACAGGACAGGGGTTCGGGGAGCTTCACCTCCAGGTTCATCTGAGCAGCCAATATTTTTGGCCTTTCTGGTATCGACCAATAGCCGATTCATCAGTGCAGTGCAGGGAGCGCCCCCTACAGGGGACCGAGGAAATACGGGGGAACTTAAGAACCCATGAAAATATTGCTCACATTTGATTAGCTTCACATTCAAATAAAAACTGTTCAGATTAAAGAAACCAAAACTTAAAACTTGATGTTTTGTGATTTAAAGTAGATTTTAGTGATGATGTTGATTTTCTACATCCAACGGTTAAAAACATGGATGATATTTTGTCACTAAATGTTTCATTTATTTTTTTTCGACTCGTTATTCCATAAATGAAGACCTGCATCAATCCAGAACCTGACTGCGACTCTGATCCACCAGAACCAGAACCCCACATGGATCCCACCTCTGGTCCAACAGAACCAGAACCCCACATGGATCTCCTTCTCCAGGCTTCCAGAACCGACACTCCATCCGGCTGGTTTGTTCCATGATCCTGGAAAACCTACCAAGTGCTTCCAGAACCGGGCCGCCCCCGTCCATCATCAGGAGAGCCTCTCCTATCCAGCACCAACCCACCGCCTCCATGTACCTGACTGTAACCATGGTTACCTGGACACCGATGGTAGAAGAAGCGGGTCAGAGATGAGGAGGGTTCTGGAAGATGAGCAGATCTGCTGACGTCTCCAACCTTCAGGTCTGTTCCTGTTTTTCTGAGATGATCTAAATTTACCATCAGAGCTTTTCTCCGTCAGCACAGGAATGCAGATCTCACCAAACTGGTCTGATTACGGCTCAGCTCCACCTCAACCAGCTCAGAACCTCCACCTCTTCATGAACACTTCTAACAAGCCTAAGCTTGACCTGTGACCCCATCAGAACCAGAACCACAGGTCAGCTTCACCCTGACGTCTCCAGGTCACGCAGCAGAACCACGACGTCGGTCTGTAGGTAAACAAGGAGCGGCTGGGAGGAGGCCACGCCCCCTGAGACGAGAGCCAATGGAGGAACAGCTGCCTGGATTCCTCCATACCAGAGCAGAACCCTGGTGGTTTGACTGGGTTCCTTTCCGGGTCCAAACATCTGAGACACGCCCAGCGTTCCTCCCACAGCCTGCTGAGCTCCTCAGACGTTTCACAACCTTCTGGGCTCGTCTGAACACGCCTGACATGTTCTGGTCTCTATGCCGGCGCAGAACGTTCCAAACCAGAACTCCGGTTTTCCTCCTCCTCTTAAACCCAGACTAGGAAAGCCGTCATGGCGGAATGTTGGGAATGTCTGACTGGAAACATTTCCCGGTGAAATACTCCAGCCCGACTGGTTCATCTATAAAATCCTGAACAGAGAAGATCCGAGCAGAACCTTCCAACCAAAATGGCCGCTCTGCTCTGAAACCATTCTGGAAATCTCTGCTGAGGCGTCCGTCCCCGTTTCAAGGACGATAATCTAGAAGCTGCTGCCTGCGTCCTCACTAGAACTATAGAAAGTAGATCAGACAGCTGATCCAGATGCTGGAATTAACGTCCATAATGTGAAAAGAGCTGAAAGCCTTTAAATCCAGATTAGAAGCAGGTGTGAACATTCTGGTTTCAGATTTCTAACTTTGCTTCTGCCCAGCATCACAGACGGCTCTTTATTTGCATCTATTTGCATCGAACAGAAAACAGGAAGTTTTTTCCGGGTTGATAAACTATTTTTTACTCTTTTATTAAGTTATTTTTTCTCACCAATTGATAAAAAATATTGAATATTTTTGTGGCTTGAATGTTTTATATTCTGGTCTGTTCTAATATTATGGATCTGCTTCTAGCTGTAACTCTCCTGTGGGGCAGCAAACCCAGTTTACATCTATCAGCGCCACCTAGAGGCTGGAGTGGTGAAGGCAGCGTCCGGTTCAATGAGACCAGGACCAAGGAGCTGCCGGCAGAATGAGAGGAAGAGTAGAAACAGAACAACTAGAAAACAACCAAAGGAAGGAGCTCTGATGCCTGAAACGCCAGAAAGCAGCAGAACAACAAACAGGCAGGAAGTGAATCAGAGCAACACCTCTGGAGGATCACCAGAACCCACCAGAACCCACCAGAACCCACCAGAACCCACCAGAACCACCCAGAACCCACCAGAACCGCAGCTTCAGGTGGATCCTGAGCTTTCAACCACCAGCAGCCAGCAGGGCCGGTCCCTGAACAGGTTTCAGTGTCTAGATCAGGCCATCACCATGGCAACGGGCTGAGAGGGCGTGAAGAGACGGAGAAAAGGCATACCTGTATGACGAGACTGAAACCTGAGAGGAGGAGGAGGGGGAGGGGCCGCTCAGGTGAGCAAACAGGTTCAGAGAGAAAAGGAGCAAAAACAATAACAGAGGCGGGTCCCCCGGTACCAACAGAACCCGGGCGGGTCCCCCGGTACCAACAGAACCCGGGCGGGTCCCCCGGTACCAACAGAACCCGGGCGGGTCCCCCGGTACCAACAGAACCCAGGCGGGTCCTCCGGTACCAACAGAACCAATCAGCCTGGTTCCATCAACAGAAAATCATTTGTTCTGAACTCAGACCCTGGAGGGGAACTGAGGAGAACCTGTCGGCCCGTAGAACCAGACTGGGTCAATCCTGCAGCTCACATCCCACCGACCCGATACACCAGAACCAAGAACGAATTGCAGAAATCGACTTTGGTCCAAAAAGAAAAACCTGCAGAGCATCGGAGGAAGAGGAGGAAGAGGAGGAAGAGGAGGAAGAGGAGTGGATGTTTAGGAAAACATGAACAGAACTTTTCTCCTCTTCTGCCCCTTTAAAAACGGACCGTCAAACAGAACCAGAACCAAACGGACCCTCAATAAAGAGGAAAGATTCAGACAGACTTTCATCCAGCAACAGGCAGGGGAGGGGCAGCACGGCTTTACTTCTCTGAGCAGAAGAACCCTCTGATACCTCAGAACCAACCCGGTACCGGTTCTGTTTGCACCACAGACCCATTGGTGGTTCTTGGTTCTGATCCGGATGGTTTCTTTCATCTGAGACCATTTCAATAAGAACCAACATGAAGCAGGAGAAAACCGGGTCAGAACCAGAACAGAAGTTCTACAGATCGGTTCTGATTAGCCGAGTCCGTTTAACCAAGTCGGACCGTCAGGGTTCTACTCACAGCGAGTCCAGTCCACACGCCTCGACCCGGTCCGATCCACAGAGACTGCAGCACGTAATCCTGCTGCCTCAGAGCCCCTGAGCAAGGCAGCCTGGGTTGGTGGCTCAGTAACCAATCGGCAGCCGGCGCCGCCTGCTACAAGCCCCGCCCACTCTGCTTTGAATTCTGCTTTACATGAGACGGACCAGAAAGAACCGCCTGCAAACAGAACCAAACAAACAAGCCGCTTTGATTGGACCTCCGGAACCCAGAACCTGGATTCAAACCGAAGCTGTGAGAGAAAACCGGTTCTGATTCTGGTCCAGTTCTGGTTCCATCAGCCGTGTCCTGCTGAGCCCAGCAGGTTCTGTTCCTGTAGAACCAGCAGCGGTTCTGGTTTCGGTTTCACTCCTTTTCTCAGGCGGCTCCTGCTTTGTTTATGAGCAAACATCTCAGGTCCAAACCAACCGGATCAGAACCAGAATCTGCTCCTTTTCCTGCATTAAATCCTAACCAATCAGGGAAGGCCGGCGGGCCTCTGATCCGAGTCTCTCAGGTCACCAACCTGCAAGGTTCTCCGGGTCAGCCGCTGACCTTTGACCTCCGACATCGACTCATTTGGACTCTCAGCTCCAGATTTAAATCCTGCAGTTTTCCATAAGCAGCCTGAGATTTCCCTAAAGAAAAGCACCCATCCTGCCCCCGCCGGGAGACGGCCCGGGGACACAGGTCACCCGGTTCAGGTCCAACGTTCAGGACTCGGATCCGCGTCTTTAAGACGAAGACCCATGAAAAGACAGGAGGCGTTTGGACGTTCCAGGTTCCCCACCAGAGGACAGAACCACAGCACCGCTAAAACCAACCACAGATCTTCTGAATCGGATCTTTGTTCCAAACGTCTCATCTGCAGAGTTCGGTTCAACAGATGCAGTCGGTTTCTAACAGATCAGCTGATCCTTCAGTTCAACTCAAACTAAATCCTTCAGATTAAAGAAACTGGATTATAAATCAGAGAAACAGGAAATCCTGGAAACTACAGTTTAATCCATTAAAGCCGCAGTGGAGGATTTTCACAAACCTTTTAAAAATCAAAAGGTTCCCAAACCAGCCGGACCCCCAACCAAAAGTAATCACCCCCCCCCGTTGAATAATAATAAAGGATTAACCACATTTTCCCCCATTCTGCTGCCAACAATGAGCCGTTTTCCACCAAACCAGTTCCAGCAATAAACTGGTTCCCAGTCTGCTGCTGGGCCAGAGGGGAGAACTGGTTCCATCATCAGCCGGGGCCCGGGGCCCCCGCAGCTAATCAACGCACACTTAGCTAGCAATACACCATTAGCAGTAGTTTCACTTCATATTTTTTACTTTAACTCATTTGTTTCCACCCTGTT